CTGAGTAGCTGGGACTACAGGTGCTTGCCAACATACCCAGATAATTTTTTAAATATTTTGTAGAGATGGGGGTCCCACTATGTTTCTCAGGCTGGTCTTGAACTCCTGACCTCAAGCAATCCTCCTGCCTTGGCCTCTCAAAGTGCAGGCTTGAGCTCTGCGACTGGCCTGGGAATGGGCATTTTTAAAAGGCACACGATAATCACGCAAATTTACAAAACAGTAGCCTAGAACATACCAAGTTTTCACAAAATGCTTATTGAGTGGTATTGAGAAATTGACATCATATAATTGTGACAATGGTCTATACCAGGAGCGTAATATTGGTCATAATTCGGATGCAAGTCTAGAGCTCCTTATGTGAAAAGCTCCTTGAATATTATTAAAAATAACTTTCCAAATAACAGTAAAAACATATTTATTGTTGGAAAGAATAAAATAAAAATTATACATATTGCTTGCACTCCAAAACATACTGTACATCTGTTACTATCTTGATACATAAACATGTCCTTTCTGGATTGAATTAGTGTAATTCTATTGAATTCTTAAAATACTGTGTAGTTATTTTGGGTTTCACTTGTGGGAAGGGATTTCACTTGGGCTTCAGATTTGTTACTCTCTTGAAAGTGTTTGGATAAAGAGCCAAGAAATACACTGTTGCTCCTATGGGAACAGAAGAGCTGGTAAATATTAATTGTGATTGTGAAACCTTGAGTTTATATTATCAGACTCAAACACAGGACACTTAAGACCGTATTTTCTTTGTTTCTTTCTCATTGTTGCCAAATTATCCTTTAATGAAATCTTTTCCTTTGTAGCTCTTTATCAACTGGGCATCCATCACACCTCTCTTGATGTCATCTTTGATGTCATGAGGATGTAGCTGTCGACATTGCAGCCCACACACTGGGTAGTCCCCGGGATTGCTCTGATGATTCTGGAAAGTTCTCTGGGTAAAGATCTATGCTACATGGGTAAGGTGCTATTGACAGTATCATAAAAGGCAATATTTGCATTGTATTTAGTGTGTAATTGTCCATTTCTATCTCTGGATGGTTCCTCAAGCACTTTGATGATCAGTGCAGAAGAGGAAAGTGTTACCTCATTCTGGCTTTTTCCGTTGTGAACTGTCAGTTTCCCTAAAATCCAGACGCTTCCAGTCACTGATTGCCTTGGCGAAGTTGATGTCACCAACAACTTTTCTGAAGGCAGATGAGGGGGCTGATTTGGGAGCCAGTGCAGATGTGGTACCTACTTCCCTATTGGCACACATGAGATGCTCAACTTTGATTTCCTTGGGGTTGAACTTAGGTATCGTGCTAACGATGGCTGGTGTCAGATGACCCTGGATACTGGACCATTGAAGAAAGTCATACCTTTGTCCCTTGAGCCAAAAGCTGAGAGTCAGATTTATTCTTAACTAAAAAATTCAATTGAATCTTTAATACAGAGTGTATCCCAGTGTAGTGGAAATAGCATGAACTAAAACTTAGAAAACCTGGAACTTACCTGGGTCCTTTATTCTGTAATGATCATTAATCCTTGAGCCTGTTATTTAAATTGTCTGCACCTCAATTTGCTCCAGCTGTCAAACAGGGATGGTGACCATAATAGTGGATAAGAGATTCATTTGATAAATTATAACACATCATATAAGGGGATATTATTAACCATAAAATAACATCAAAGCAGTAATAATAATT